GGGCGTAGTTTTTGAGTTTCGGAATATTTATGTTTGTGTTGATCAAATGTTAGTTGTTCTTTATACAAAAATATTCTAGAAAGGAAGATTTTGTAAGACGTGCGACTTGACTATGTTTAACTACAATCTAATGATTGTTTTTTAAAATGCGAAATAATCTTTTGTTAGTAATTTGTTTCTACGAAATTTCCGCAATTCGACCAAGTAATATAGCCAACGCCAGAGGAAGAGTTTAAGAAGTTTAAGGTCTGAAATCGAAATTTCTACAAAATTTCTGCAATTCGATGCATTTAGTGATCTTTTATGATTTTATGCAATAGAAAAGAAGACGTATGACGTAAAACATACCATTGCCAAATTAGATAAATCGTATTTTGTATCCGAACCCTCTTCTTCTCCAAGATTCATTTGCGCAAAGAGTACTAAAACAAAGAAAAAAAGAGATTAGTAAAAACGGATTCTATGTAACGAAATATGTCAGATCATTAGAAAAAAAACGGGTATATATACCATCAAGAGTCTGATCGTACGTGTATGAACATCTGTCAATTTCTTCTTTTTGATATGTTACAACAATATCGACTTTCGTATTACTACAAAATTGATGATATGCTGGCGCTTTAAAATAGACACAATTGCCATTTTTTGTAAAGGTAACCGATTGTGTCCAACCAGTATTCTCTTGCATAAATTTTATTGATAATTCTAAAACAATTAATATTTAATTTTTTTAAGATTATTTTTTGTTTATTTTTTTTATACATACCAGGTTTTAATACTCTTCCTTTCAATAACATAAATATTGTCTCACCACCATTACATTTTCCCCATTTTGGACCATAGGTATCAACTTCTACTGCACCATAAGCTTCTGTCATTATATTACTCAATGTTGTTGTCTGTTCATCACGAATCCATTGTCCATTTTGATCAATATAATATCGTGTAAAAGATAATTGAGATTTTTCTAATTGATTTATTTTTATTACTTCTTTTGTTATATTATCATCTTGAAGAAGTTTATGTAATTCTATTTGAAATCTTAAAAATAAAATATAAAATATTAAAAATTTCATATATTTATTTTTATTTTTTCAACTTACATTTTAAATCCATTATTAAATTCTTCTGTATTCACAAAAAAATAAAGTAAATTATTATCTCTATCTTTAATAATAGATTCATAATCACCATTTGATGATTTTATACTATGTAATTTATTATCAATATAATAGGGATGTGGTAAACCATTGATCGTTTTTAATGACACTTGAATATAATTAGCACAAGCAGATTTCCATTCTTTATAAACTGCAATTGTTGGATATTCAGCCGATTCACCTTGTTCACATCGAAGATAATGAGATGATTCTTTACTTTCTTTTACAGTACGTGGACGATAAAATGGTCTAGGATGATTTATTATTTGAATTTTAGGATTAAGTTTATTATTATTATAAAAACTAATACTTTCATCAAACTGATATTTCACATCTGCTTCTTTTAATTGAACAATATTTAAATTATTATTATCTAAAAAAAATGAATTTTATTTATATATAAAATAGTTATTTTTTGTTGTTTTTTTTTTAATATTTACGTTTAAATTCTTGTACAGGTTGAACAGTATTAGAACTTTTATAACGAATTGTATGACTCGATGTTGAACCTAAAAAAATATGTATTATGTCACATTTTTATAATAATGTAAACATATTTTATAGAATTACCTCTTAAAAGATAATTTTTAAAATTTATTCAATTTGTCGATCTTTCATACGTTGCATTTCTCCAACTACGTAGTTTTTCATTGCACACTAAATTAGAGATGGAACAGTTCCAATTCCTAAGAATTGATCATTAGTTCAGTTCCTGTTGAATAGTTATCCATTCTTTTCAAGAATTCAAAATAAAAATCGATGTAACTAGTTTAGTCAACTAAACATACCATCTACCTCTAATGCACACTATACAAAAGTCAATGTAACTAGATTCATCGATTTTAATGATTTGAAAGCGAACTGAACTAAAACTGTTCCATCTCTACACTAAATTGTGCAAAAAGGAAACGACGATTTATGAATAATACATTCGTATGAAAACTACGACTCCTTTTTACTAACAATGTCAGTTATAAAACATTAAAGATGATGTTGTATAACTCTCTCGAGTGATTAGAACAAAGTAGGAATTTAAAAAATAAACAGTATTTTTTAGAGAATTACCTCTGTTTTTCTTTGTGCTTGATATTTTTGATGTTTGATCCGTATTAAGAATAGCTTTAGTCATTATTTGAGTAGCTAAAGAAACAAAATATATGTACATAATTAATGAAAAAAGTATCATCAAACTTCTTTTTTTGTTTTTAGAATTTGAATTATTTACTTTCAATAATTTGATCTTCTGCTGGTGTTGCTCCAAATGAATCATTACTAGCACATTGACCTAATTATAATAGAAAAAAAAATGTCTCTATTTTATTTTATAATTAGTGTATGTATTAATTTACCATTCATATCGGCTAATATATCATGTGGTGTTTCTTGCGGTATGGATGAAATAAAATTATTATCTACTAGAGAAATATCTTTAAAATCATCAGAAAAACATGAATCAGATAAATCATAATTTAATTCATCTTCTGTCTTTGGTACAACTGTTCCAATATGATTTAAATCAAATTGAAATAATTTAGCAATATCTTTTGGATAAATAGAAGATAAATTTTCAACTGCATTTACAATTGGTATTGCTAATAAAAAACAAACAAAAAAAAACATAAGACATGAAAGAATAATATTAATCAATAAGTATCTATTAAAAATAATCTTTTTTTTTTGATGATTTTACTTCCTAGACAAAAAAATATGTCAAGAAAATTTCCTCTTGCTTTATTAATCGGAACTAATGTTCTACTTCCTCATTATATTGGGGAAAAAAAAGATAATACTATTTCATCAATGATTAATCTATACAAGCCATTTTTAAAGTAACAAAAAACAAAAACGTGACTATTTTATTAACCTTTAAATTCTTCAAATTGATCATTGCTATCAAAAGTATAATCTAAAAAAATAAAGAGAAAAAAAATGTTATTATCACAGATAAAAGTATATAATTTGAATGTATATATATATATATATATGTACCATTACGTAACGGGTCATTCAATAGCAATGATTCGTTAATAGGATCACTATCATTTTGAAATTCGGATGATGATGGTTGTAACAAAGAATTAATCATATTTTCCGAAAGATCGTAAAATGACTAAACAAATAATGTAATTATATCAAATTTTTATTTAAAAAAACAACAACAACAACAACTTACCGTCGTCTTACTAAAATCAACATGCAGTGGTTGTATATTATATACTAAAAAACAAAAAGAAAAATTAATATTACAGATCTATTCTATTATTGATTATAATTCTCCATTTATCATTACTTACTATTATTAAATAGTTGATCCGTATCCATCATTGACATTGTAAACTGATTTGTATTTAAAATAGATATATTATGTGTAAAACAAAAGAAAAATGTTAGAACAAAATTAATCTAAAATAAAGAAAGTTATGAAAAATATGTTTATAGAATGTGTTATTCATTGAGAAGAAATTTTATTTCTAAATTTATTCTCTATTTTTTTTTTTTCTTCTTCTCACAATAATGTACTAGATCAAATGATATGTCTAATTAGAAAAAAACTAAATAAATATATATTGATAAAATGAAATATATGATGTATATACGATAGAATTTCAAAATATATATTTATTTAATGTGTAATCTTCTTGAGTAAGAGTAGTCTGTTGTTGTAGTGGTTGGTTGTTGTTGTTGTTTTTTTTTGTTTAAATCAAAGCTTTTTATTTTAGAATATTGGAAATATGTCTACAATTATGTCTATTTAGTGGATGTGAAGCACAATATAAATCTACACATTTCTAAATGAGAGAAAGATAAATTGAAAATATTAATTTTTTTTCATATTTAAAATTAATATCTTTGTTAAGGAGGCGTCGTCTCCATTTGATATACACTTTTTTTTTTGGAATCATTATTAGAGATATGAAGTTATATAATATGGAACTGGATATTAGCACACATGTAAGAAATGATATTTTGACTAGGATTTAAAATTAAAATGAATCAATTGCTAAAAAAAACGAAATCATTTGTTTTTTATCTTAAAATTAATTGTCTCAGTTAAGAAATAAGAAGAAAAAAATTAACAATAAAAACCGTTCTAACCTACACTTTATCACGTTTTATCATTGACAAAAAACAAGAGTCGGTTAAATTATACACAATTTAAAAGCAATAGTGTACGTCTATATAATCTTGTTATTTTGCGTCGTTTTATCAACATATATATATATAAAACGGGTAACTATGTGTTGTTGTTTTTCTCTTTATTTTTGTTTCTTTTTTCTATCATACTCCATCATAGAGACTCCTTTTTTTTTTTTTTCTTTTTTACTTCGAGAAGCTTCTATTCTTTTTTGTTTTTTCTTACCTAAGAAAATAATAATCTTTTTTTACGGCCAAGTTTTTCTTTTGAAAAAACAGAATTTTTATCGTGGTTTTTATACAAAAATAATATAATACACCTCTGCAGTGACTACAATCGTCATTACTTTATGCGATTGTGAAACTTTTTCGTTAAAAAAACAAAAAGTATGAGCTATTATATACATTACCTTTTTTTTGTATAGTGACTCTTATACAAATATTAGTTTATATGACTCAACTCATTTAATAGAAAATTTAACATAAAATGTCTCAACTGATAATGTTAATGAACGATGTCTAGATTATTATCACTAAAATTAGTTATTCAATATCGCCTATTTTCTCAAGGTTATTTCAGTGGATTTGATAATTGATAATTAGAGTCTCTCTAATACCGTAATATTCCAGATAGTCTTCGACAGGTCATATTCTTGTCATGAGGTCGGCAGTACTATTACTCATTGTACATGGGATACTGCGTGAGTGTTAGAGATTCTAATAGTTAGAAATTATTTTCATATGAGCTGGAAGTGTATGTTAGATCGTACTTCGATAGCTCAGTGATTAGAACTTTTCAGCTATGTTATCAGAGAGATTCGATTCCTGAACGAGGTATATATTTTCTTTTCATATGTTTATCTATCAAATTATGTCTAGGGATGATAAAATGCACTTTCTAATTTCAACAAGTTTCAAGTATTCACAATTCATCTGTTTTTCAGACTTACTACACTTATACATTCTTTCGCCATTCTTATTCAAACAAGAAATTCGGTGAAATCTCTGAAACGAACATTCTATTTTGCTTTAGACTATTACACTACATCTATCTGCTAATTAGAGGTGTGCAACCCGATCCGAAGGTTAGATACGGGTAGAGCAGTTACGGGTACGGGTTCTATTTTTTTTTAATTTACCCGAAAATTGCAAGGTTCTAGTAGAAAAACTACAGGAGTTTAGCTAAAATACATGAAGATTTAAAAAAGACTTACTTGAGAATGTAATGATAATTTAACATCTTCAGCCGAAAAGCAAAAATTTTTAGCTGAAAACCAAAAAGGAGAATATTTTTAGGCATAAGTCGGATATCGGTACGAAGATGGTACCCTTGCACATCTCTACTTCTAAATACGTGTTCTATGACAATAAAATTATATAAAATAAAAGCTTTTAGATTACCGTTGATTAATTTAAGAGAGCAAATCTTCGTTGAAGAGTGTTTTTTGCAATCTCACAGAGGATAGACCCGAAAAAATATATAAATGAGAGATAAAGAAGCGAAAAAAAAAAACATGGTCAACATCAATGATTAACTCACTCTATGAAACTACTGTTTAGCCTGTTAATTTTACAGCTGAAAATAAAATTAACTAGAACGTACCAAAATCTCGTTTTGGTTACGTCAATCTAAGATACACAAGTTGTACTACATGTTGACCTATTTAAAATGAAACTTCAGCACGGACATTTCAACTCTAGAAAAGATTAATCGAAAAAATTGGTTTGTCATAGTTTTGAAACAAAAAGTACGAATTGACAATCAAGTTAGGACAAATGATTGTTTAAGAACTATTCATGGAGTTTTGTATAGATCGTGTCTACAACTATACAATTGAATATGAAATTAAGGTATACATTTTGAAACTGAGTTTAACAATGTAATAATGTTGTACGAGTCGAGTATTTTCAAAATCTCAACATAGAAGCGATATGAATAGATGAAGAGACACTGTTGCCATTCTCATATATTTGTCATTGCTCAACACAATTTCAACTAACGGTAGTATATAAAATATTTACATTAAATATTCGTTTCAACATTCTCATTCTTGACTAATATTTACTTTAACTTTAACGACATGAGTTCGATGAAATACACCAGTGTGGTGTTGCAAATGTAATTGAAATGACTATGCACTTCGTATAGCATAATGTATGACTCATTATGTACAAAATCTTAAGTCATAATTTAATAAATACTTGAATATCTAATTATCAAAATTTATTCTTTTGCTCGCTCGACTTCGAATCAAAGGTACGATTTGAATTAGCTCAACAAGATGTGTCCAAATCAGTAGCTTTCATCCGTACTACATGTCTGATCGAAATATATATATATAGAATATACGCCACATAAAAATAAATACATTTGACCTTCATATTGATTGTCAGTTCGTAGTTTTCTTTCAAAACTATGACAAACCAATGCTTGCACTTATCTCGCTTGGTGCTAATCTTTCCTAGCGCTGAAATGACTGTGCTTAACTTTTCGAGTCTATCCTGTCAGATTGCTATAATGTCGGGGAACACCAGCGTAATGTCATCCGGTATTTGGGGGGAACACCTGCTAAACGAATACCAAAACACTCTCTCTCTCTCAGCAGTCTAAAGCAAAACAGAATGCTTATTTCTGAGATTTCAGGAATTGTTTTTCTTCAAGTAAAAATGACAGAAGACTGGCTGGACAGAAATAAACACACATCTCTGGTACCAAGATAAATTTCATTTTTTTTCTATAGGACGGCGTTTCTTCCTCCTTGGCAGTTGTCAATGTAAGCAACAGGATTTTGGAGGAAAACGTTTTAACGAGAAGTAGAAAATTGGTGTAAATTCTACTAAAGAGAGCGTCTCGGAGCAAATATACATAAAGAATTTGATAGAGGGTATTAGCTGGAAACAGACCGATAAAACACGGATTGTTAGATTAACACTAATGACCAGAAACCGTCAAGATAAGTGACCGACAAATAACACACTAGCGCAGCCATTGATATAGTAGGTGTGCCTCATAGTATTTTCAGTTGAATATCTTGAGTTTAGAGCTCAAGCATTTATTCATCAGGTCGCCAACCATGAAAAATACGTTTAGAAAATGACTTTATCGGAATTGCTGGAGATTAAAAATATTGAACGGATTAAAGCGTAGTAGCTGTTACTAGTCTTGAAAAATGCTTTTTATTCTTTTTAATACTCCTTTTGTCTTAAAATCAAGCACGTTGTAAGTGGATAGCACATAAACCATCTATGCACTATGAAAGTTAGACACTCTCGTGCCGTAGAACGGCAAAATCTTCGAAAGTTCATAATTTTAATTGAAGTGCATAGATATTTCTTTTTTCATACACCTGGGATCTGGGAATTTCTGAGAGTTCATACTTAGTTTTGTGAGATATAAGTGCTAGTTTCTATCCTTTAACAGCGGCTACGTTGTCTAATTTGATACATTCCGATAAACTAGCGACATACAATGCGTCGGCGACCTAATGATATATGGCAAAACACATCGTTTTTAGCGTTAACAAACATCAATTCAGCGATCTGAAGTAGAAACAAGTTAAAACAGAGTAGTCTTGGAAATTCGGTAACTGGCTGCTACATGGTTCTATGATACAGAAAGAAAATACAGTAGAATAGAGCATAGTACATCAATAAATATTACTGGAAATGAAGTTTTAGTTCTGTGGTCAGTTGCTCAACTCGAATTGAAGACAACAACAGCTAAGAACAGAGCTTATTTCTTGATATAGGAATATACTTCTACTTAGAAATAACACAAACAACTAAGACTAAGACTGTTTTATTCACGAAAAGTGAGAGTCATCAAAGGTCACCGACCTGTACACATGTTATGAATATTATTCGAATAATATCATGCATACAGAACAAATATTAGAGTTTTCTCTTTTAGCGTATCCTGATCTTTTTCTTGATGTCGCATACAGATCATCTTTTCTTTTCTATATGTATCCTCATATCTGACATACACATATCTACATGCGACATCAAGAAAAACATAAAGATACGCTAAAAGAGAAAACTCTATTTTATCTTTCAAAAAAACTCTTTTTTAAA